TAAAAAAAAATCATCGAGGCCAAGCCTCCAGACCCACTTGCCTCTCGCTTCGAAGTTCGCCCGCCGCCTCTCCTTCTCCAAATCTTCTCGTCGCTACTCGCGACTCCGCTTCTCCGACCACGCCGCGTCGTCGGCGTTGCAACACCCTCCGCCCCAGTCCGCCTCGCCTCGCGTCCTCCTCGCCTCCCAGACCCCAGTCGCCGACGTTGCAGCACTCCCTCCGCCCCACTCCTCTGCCATTCCTCTGCCACCGCTAGGGCCGCCACCGTCAGGATAGTGACAGAAGCCTTCCTCCACAGCTCTGCTAGTCTTCAGTCTCAGCCTGATTCTTCCGACTGGAGAGACTCGGTGTACCATTGTTTTGTACAGCAACCAAGAGTGTTCTCGTAGAGTAAACATATTACCTTTGTAATAGCTAGGAAAATCATTCTTTTGACATTTGGTACGAGTGATATATATGAGGTGAATGCCATTAGGTCCAAACTTAAACAAAACATCCATTTGTATTCTATTCCAACACCAACGAACAGAAATGACGCAATTTCTCAGTTCTTTCTCCTGTCAATTTCACCTCCGTCGGGCCGGTATTTTGGTAATACTGGCTTATAACCGTTTACCGGTAATTCGATAATCAGTAAACCGGTTACAAACCGATATCGGTAATCGATTCCAGTTTAGTCAATATCAGTATACCGAAACCGATAAACTCGGTAAACAATTTACCGTTTACCGATCGAATCCCACCCACCTGTTACATAACTTTATCTGTCCGAGTACTACAGAAAGGTTGGGGCGAATATGGGCGAAATGATTGATTTTGATAAAAGTACAGGGACCAAGAGAATGAACTTTTATATGGGCACGTAGGAGAAGATTTCCCCACTAATCTAAACGTGGAAGATTTTGGCCATCTCTTGTTTAACTTCTGTTAGTTTATCATTGCAGTTATACTTCGGAGAGCGACTAGAATACTAACACTCAATTTTAGGGGTGGGCGTTCGGTCGGTTCGGTTTGAACCGAACCGAACGGGTATATGTCGAATTTCCGAAGTCGCCCATGTTCCAACCGATTTCGAACCGAACTAGAATTCGGTTCGGTTCAGCATCAGCAGCAAGCGCTACTTGAAAAAAATTGGGCCATTCGGAGGAGGAGAGTGGGCTGGGTTTGGGCTTTAGTTGGGGAGTGGGCTGTAAGTCTGTAACTGCTGAGGTTTGAAAAAAATTGGGCCATTCTTAATTCGGAAATTCGGTCGGTATTTCGGTTTATCGGTTCGGTCAAAAAGCACCTGTCTCCCGAGATTCACCCTATCTCCGTCCGAATTCCGAACCTAATTACAATTATTTCGGTTTCGGTCGGTTTGAGCTCGGTTCGATTCGGTTCGGTAAAACCGAACCGTATGCCCAGCCCTACTCAATTTGTTAGTATAGTGTTGATACCAGTTCCAACCAATATGAATATTTAACTTATGAATATTTAACTTTTAGGGTCAATTTTGGCTGTTGTACAGTTTGCAGCCCAAAGCTGCTACCCGTCCATGTGTCACCCCACTATTAGCCTAAACTACATATATTTATTCTTAACTGTTAATTTATTTTGCACGGAACGTGGAGAAACGAGGTAAAATACCTTAGGTACCACTTAAGTTTGAGAATTGGGGTACACATACCACTTAAGTTTGAATAGGGCGTCGGGTACCATTAAAGTCGCCAAAATGTGCATCCGTCTACTTTTCCATCAAACCCAAAATTTCAATTACTTTTTGATACCCAAAACTTTTAAAAACATCCATAAATATTTTTCAACAAGTTTTATCTAATATAATAATTATAAAACATTCAACGAAAAAAAGAAATTTTTTTTTATAAAACCTTCTAAACATATTATTACTAGAATGATTAATCAATTTTTTTTAATAAAATAGATAAATTGGTAAAAATAGTAAATAAATATCAATAAGAATAATAAATAGACTAGAATATAATAATAAATATTTAAAATTAATATTAGAATATCAATTTAAACCCCCTAATTCAATTAGAAGCACCATTAGAAATAATTAAAATAGAACCTAATCGATTATCAATACATCAAAATCAAAGAAGGATAACTGGAACACAATAAGAAAGAATTAAACATATTCCACTAATTGAAAAAATTTAGAACGAAAAGAAATGGAAAGTAACAAAGTAATAAATAAAATATAAAAGCTACAACATTCGGTAAAAAATATAGAAAAGAAATATGACTATAAAAGCTGCAACATCGTTTAGTTACAAAATGCATGGAAGAATTAAATTATTAGAACACATAATGGTAATTGAAAATAATTATAATGATAATTGATTGTAAATTTTCTATTCAAAAATTGGTTTGGTATCAAGTATTCAAAAGAGGATTCTAACTAACCAATAAAAAATGATGTTTTTTATAAGTCCAAATAATTTTTTTACAATAAAAAAGTAGAAGGATCAATTATGAAATTTAAAAAATGGAATATTTCAAGAATATTCTGTCAACTTTAACGGAATGCACTTAAGAGTAAACTTAAGTGGTACCGGGTACATATATAATAGAGTTCAGTGGTACCCGACGCCCTATTTAAATTTAAGTGGTATGAATATCTCAATTCTCAAACTTAAGTGACACCCATGTATTTTACCCCGGAGAAATGGAATGCAGACGGGACGAGTTCCTGCTTACTAGCAAATAAACACCATCTCTTGACTAATGTTTTTGTTTTCTGCATGTCTTCTTCTGTAGGAGAAAATTTGGATCTACACTTAGTGTAAGCAATATATCAATCACACAGCTGTTACAGGCATGAACTCAATTCAATTATTCTTTTATTTTTTTTATTTCTATTAAAAATCTCAACACTAGTATCATTCTTATCTTAGTTCATTTTGCATGATGCCATAACAGCTCCACATGTACACGATCCTAAATAGTGACAACCTATATACTCAAAATCATGTTTTAAAACTTAAAAGTTTACGCTTCTACAATTCTAGGTCACCAAAACGCTTTTATGTAGAATTAAAAGTGTATTTCGTATGAGCATATTCTTATTATGGAATACAGTTCATATATATGCGAGAACTCATTTCAGATGATTTGTGTTGTTCTATTACATATCGTTTGGTATAAATGAATTCAATAAGTTTTGAGGAATTCATTTTGGACTGAACCATTTTTGTGTTTAGTATTTAAAAGAATTCATTTTCAATTCTAAATTTTGAATTCTATGGAAGTGGAACTAGTTATAGCAAATTCCGAGGAGTTAAGATGGAATTTCCAAATGAATTTCATAAGTATTTACCAGTTATAATAGAATGGTATAATTATCCTCTTATATTAACTAAATTACTTATACATATGACATACCCAACACCAAGGGGTGGTTTGGATGCAGGTTTTTAATTCAAGAGATTTGAGAGGGATTTTAGATTAAATCACTCGTTTAAAAACCCAGGTTTTTAATTCGAGAGATTTGTGTGGAATTCTCTGTTAAATCACTCGTTTGGCAACAAATATGGGATTATAAAACAAAAATGGTGGATGACAATTTTACCCTTCAAATCTGCTTATCTGTACACGAGGGAAGAGAACAACACGCGAACAGAAAAGTGGGTTCCTCCTTCATCTTTGCGAGCTCTTCTTCTCCGTCAATCCTTCCCTCAGTCTCCCCGCACTATTTGTCGAGTTCTTCTTCACCTGTTCATTGTGGGAAGATAGCCAAACTCCTTAACCTAACCTTCCATTCCTTTCCATTCCCCAATATCTCCCCTGATCATTCCGTCCAACCCCAGAGTTAAAGAACTCATATTGCTTCATTTTTTAGACTTGGCGTTGAATTGGTATGGAGTTGGTTTGACATGTTATTGAATTGATGTGTAATTGAATTTGTGTGATCTGTAATTGATTTGTTTTGCCTCCAGGGGGAACATTGTTACTACTTCAAATGGTTAATTAAGTGGTCAATATATATATCAAGCATTCAGAATCACAATGATAACTAAATGCACTCTGCAGAGTCATTATAAAACAAAAGAAATATGCAGAACTCAAAACTCATCTACTGTGAGATAATACTGAAAAGGAAAATAGATTCAACCACACGCACAAGAAATGGAAATTAACGTAAAATCATAGATTCAATCCAGGAACAAAACCACCTGTTACAATCCATATCCAGCCACCTAGAAAAGCAGAATAAGCAATACCAACAAAGCTCAATGCAATCCCCAAAAGAAGCTCCATGTACGAGCTGGGATTACCATGAACTGTCACTACCAAGCAGTCTGCAATTATGTTCAGTCATTTTGGCAGCATACTCCTCAAAAAGACTTGCATACAAGTCCAGATTACTTAATCTTAACACTTATCTCAACCTAGCAACCCTTTCACAAACATCATCTTGTCTAATATGTCTTCTAACCTATAGAATGCCATCAAGTCTCGATCATTGTTGGAAAGCAGCCTCATTGCAGTAAGGATCTCAGCTCTGGTAAGCCCACCAAGCTGCTCCAAACTCTGCACCAGATTATCTCGCTTAGTATTCAGTTCATCACTTTCCCCAAGTGCCCTAGTAATTGTATCAACGGACTGCTTAATCAGGGGACGGAGATCTCTCATTTCTCCAGCTGCATCTGTGAGGCGTTCTTAAACAGTCATACCCTTTTTCTTCTTCTTCTTCAGTGGAGCACCATCCATTGAAGCAGTCACACTTGCAGGCTGCTTTTTTTGACCAGCTAACTCTGCATTGATTTCCTCCATCAGCTCAACAGTCACCTCGTCATAGTCAGGATTTGGAATGTCATACTCTTCTGCTGATGTTCCATCCAAACATATTGGATCATTGGTGTCAACCCCATGATCTCCAGTTGCACGACCTTTGCAGAATACTGGTGTCAGGTCATCATAAACCGGAAATGGTTTCTTGTTCAGACCACCACAGTTTGGATGCTTCTGCAATAAGATGGACAACCACCAAGAAGTGTCAATAACCAAAAAGACAGACATAAATCAAGCACCAATTTTGTAGGCTTACCAGCTCGAATGCAGGCCACTGATCATCTGGACAGATGACACACTTATTAATCTCATCCCATTTCCATCCACTTTGATTTCTCATAAGTGTCGTTGCATGCCATATCTTCTTCCATTTCTTGAACCGACCCTCTATATGCGGCTTAGCTCTTATACCACAGCCCAGAACCTTTTCCAACATCATCTTCTCAAGAATACCATACACTCCGTTCTTACAAATGCCATCCACTATGAGCCGCTTCTCAACACACTCCAAAATGCAGTCCACAAATGGTTTATCACACTTCTCTGGCCAGAAGGTGTATCCAGATTTTTCACCTTCCACAGCCTTCCTTTTTCCCATCACTAAACAACACAGATACACAACAATTTCAAAAGAGAAATTTAAGTACACAAGTAAATTAAACAAGCATCTAAGTACCTCAAACAAAGAGAAGCAGCCAACCACAAACAAGTTAAAAGGAGCAATTTGCTGCATTAAACAAAGAGAAGCTGGAGGCTACAAACAATCATTTCCTTTCCTTTCCCCCTCAATTTAAAGCACAAATAGAAGCACGAAGATCAAATAAAAAGAAACAAAAGTATCAAGCTTGATTAAAAAGAACCAGAAGCATCAAGCTCAAATAAAAAGGAACAACAAGTACATTGACTAATGCAGTTCTAACATTAAACAAGTTCACCACTGTTTGTCTCACACAAACCGAAACATCAAATTCGAAACAGTCTATTACATAAAATGAAACAAATGCATCCACCATTACTAGTTTTCACAGATTACACAAGAGCACAGAGAAATCATGATGAAGTTCTGAATCGCGCAGGTCGATCGTTCCACATTTCATTTGCCAGATCCATCCTAAACTGAGTCCAAGCCTCGGTGGGTTGAGTGCCGAAGTTCGCAGCCGTATCACCTCCGGTTTTTTCATGCTGCACATTATCGCGATGTTGATCTCGATAGGTTCTTTCATAAATGTCAGCCCCTTCCTCCCTCTTTATGAAATTGTGTAGAATACAACAAGCCAACACAATTCGAGATACAACAGGCACAGAGAACCAAGTTGCATCCCTAAGAATTGCCCATCTCATTTTTAGAATTCCAAAAATCCTCTCAATCACGTTCCTAGCCTGAGCATGTCTCCAATTGTAGTACTCTTTGGCAGTTTGTGGCAGCTGCCCCCCCCCCCCATACATCGATGTGGTATCTTGGCCCCCAAATAGGGGTCAAGAATCCTGGGCTGTTGCCATACCCAGAATCACACAAGTAATAACATCCTATTTCAAAAAAATAATTGTAATTAGAAGCACCTAAGACCAATGAGAATACTTCACCGGAGAAACCAAATATCGTTTATTTAAAAATGTACCTTCCGGCACAACTAGCCCGTTTGGCCTATTTAAAACATCTCTCAACACCCTTGTATCGTGTGCAGACCCTTCCCATCCCGCTAGGCAATATATAAACTCTAAGTTTGGGGTACAAACACCCAAACAATTAATTGTGAGATGATCAGACCTATCTCGATATTTAGTTTGTTCTTCCTTCAATGGTCGAACATCAATGTGGGTTCCATCAAGAGCTCCCAAATAATTCTAAATGATAAATTATCAAACAATTTAGGTAGTTGTATTAAAATTTGCAAGTATAAATTTGTAATAAGGTAAGTCAAATGAAGTCCAACCTTAAAGTACTTCCATCTCTTGTCGGTGGAATCAGCTGTAATGGGTTTGGGCTTCTTCATAAGAAGATTGTTGAGTCTAAGAATCGCCCGTAAGACTCGGTGAAACGATCTATAAATCGTTTCAATAGAGCGCCTCAAATCAACTGCTAAACTCCTAATTTTGTTGTCATGAGATATAGCCAGAAGGAAGGTGAGAACCATTTCATCTACATCAGTGTTTCGAGTCTTTTTCAGCCCTCCCTCTGCAACTAAAAGATCACATAACTTCTTGAATAAGATACGGTTCATCCTAATTTTCCTGTGACTCTCGGTATCACTGAGTTTTGTACATTTGTCGAACACCCTTTGTCTCTCGAACTGTCGCAGTATGTAGCTATCTACGGGCTGCCTAGCAATTCTAGGATTACGAATTAATAGCTCTGAAAGTTCGATCACCTCCATTCCTAGCTCAATATAGATCATTATAAGGTTCCAAAATGCGCTAATAGCAGCAATCAGTTTGCGCCTTTTCGTTGGAGTCATCATGGACAGCCGAGACATCCTTTACAGAAAATACCATTGACAATGAATTAAAAACAATAAAACACTTACAACAATAGTCATTAAACAGAAGCAGTTCCAACCAACTAGCACAAACAATAGTTTAATCAACAGCAGCCATAAAACAAGCAATTTAGTCGACATCCACAAATCATGAACCAGCTCAACCAAATACCAATACATGTTAATTGTGCATAAAACCCCCTTCCAAAGCCACGTCACAACAAAACGCTGGAAGGAGGAAGAAAGGAAAAGAAGGACTTGCGATTTTCAAGCACCACCAGCAAGCAACAGGGATGATGCCATTTTGAGGCACAAGACCCCCTTTCAAAGCAAACACAAAACCCCCTTCCGAAGCAACTTCCGAAAACGCTGGAAGGAGGAAGAAAGGAGAAGAAGGACTTGCGAACTCACCTGCTGGAATGAAGACGATTGCTATGGGCTGCAAAGCCTCACCGACGACGAACGATTCACCTGCCTCGACGAGCTACGTCCAATGGAGTCGGCGACGGTTGAGTGTCCTGCCTTGTCGAGCTCCTTCTGTTGGTGGTAGTACAAAATGAATCTATAAAATATATGAAGCAGATTCATGGGTTGTTTTTGCAGGGATTCAAAATTGGAGGCTTCTGAGAGCTTCACGGCGGGGCAGTTCTGTCTTTTCATCCCCACATTAATGAAGTGTTGCGTTTCATATCGGAGATCTTTGGGCTCAAGTACTACTCCACGCTCTACTACTTCGGGTCGGTCGCCAGCCCGATCGGGTCGTACCTGCTGAACGTCCGGGTCGCGGGGTATTTGTACGACAAGGAGGCGAGGGAGCAGCTGACGGCGATGGGTCGGGTCCGGCAAACGGGTCAGGACCTGAATTGCGTCGGCACCCGGTGTTTTAAGCTGGCGTTTGTTATAATCACGGCGGCGACTCTGTTCGGGACGTTCGTGTCGCTGATTTTGGTGATCCGGACGAGGGAGTTTTACCGGGGCAATATTTACAAGAGGTTCCGGGAGGCGGCGGCGGCGACGGCGGTGGAGGAGCGGGAAATGCCGGTGGCGGGAGGGAATGGAAAGTGTACGATGGAGACGTGTACGACGACGATGGAGGAACTGAGGAAGTGAACGGGAAAGTGAAAGATAAACAGCCGACTAATGGTTAAAGAAACTAATACATTATGCAGTTGTTGTTTTAATTAGATAGAGATTGACGTGGGAATGATCGAAGAAGAAGGAGACGACATGAGGGAAGATGTCAAACTAAGTGATTTGAAAAATTACATGTATTATCATGATATATTAATCTTTTTGGTGGATAGCAAAAAAATAATAAGATTAAATAATGAAAAAATGAAGGTGACCTTCAGTTCTGTTATCAATCCGGTTTACTTAAAATATAACCTTATCGAAGTACTAATTTAAAGTTCATATGATTAACCGGCAAAATAACCGAGAACCGATTACGTGGTTTCGGTAAACAAAAAAAATATAAACGGTACGGCTTGCGTTTAGCAATTTTTTTTAATTAAACAGTTAAATGAAAATTGATTCAGATTATAACCGAACAAAACCGATTTTCAGTTCATGAGGCATTCATTCGCAGTGTAATTTTGGGTATATTTTTTAATTTATTTATAATCCCTTATATAATTTTATTAGCAGCAACTAAAATTACATGAGAACAACCAAGCTCTCTTGAACCTCTGTAGATCCAACATCAAACATGTCTATAAAATTTAGGGTTAATATTTTCGTATGGTCTCAACTTTGACCAAAATAAACATCCTGGCCAATCTTTTCGATCTATAACATCCTGGCCCGAACTATACACCAAAATAAATAATTTGGCCAGATCTGACTTTTGACCGTTAACTTGGACGGTCAACGCGCCACGTCACTGCCAAGTCAACAATTTTCACTTAATTTTTTTTACAATTTCCACCTATTATCTTTTTTCTTTTACATTTTGAACAAAAAAAAAAAACAAAACAAAAAAAAAAACAAACCCTTCCATCCTCTCCGATCCCCTTTCACTCCCTGTTGTTGTCTCCTCTCCAAATGAAATTGAATGTTCACCAGCTCTCTCAGGTCGTCCACCACAACCAGATGATGGCTTCCTCCCGTAATTTCCCTTCATCTTCCCCCTCCGACGACTCCGTTGCCATTGGATCCAGGAACTCGGCGACGATTCGAGAACTTGAAACCCTAGATCCGGTGAATTTGTACGAGAGAGAGGTCTTCAACCGGTTGATCGGGATCAGAGAGGATAATGAATCCCTCTATGTTATCCCTCACTCCAGCTCATTCGCCCGCACTCCTGCTCGATCGCCTCTTCTCGAGCCCAGCGGCGAGCCTCTTGCTGTTGCTGGTTTGTCGGTGAGCCTATTCCTTCCTCCCCTGGGGTTCGATGACGGCAGCGGGAGCAACCGAAAGAGGGCAGAGGAGCTACGATCCACTAAGGGCGGTGAGCGAAAAGTTGTGGAAATCGACCGTGGTACCACCATTTTCGCACTCGCAGCCATGGATGGAGGGAAGCTGACCATTACCCAATCTTTTCATTTCCCTCCGTTTGGTGATGATGATGACGAGTAAAGGTTTGGACTTCGGATTTTATTTGATTTACGATTTGAGAATTTTGGGGATAATCACCCAGATTCTCTGGGGCGGTGACGGGGGAGATGGATTGGACTTTACACTTGGGGCATTTACAATTGATTGTGATGGAAGAAGGAGAAGCAGAATATGATTTTTGGAGAGCAGATGGCAGCGGGGGAATGAAAGGGATCAGAGAGGAGATGAAGGGTTTATTTTGATTAATTTTTGTTTTAACTTTTTTTTTTTGCGTTCAAAATGTATAAAAAAAATGATAATAGGTGGAAATTGTAATAAAATTGAAGTGAAAATTGTTTACTTGACAGTGACGTGGCGCGTTGACCGTCAAGTTAACGGTCAAAAGTTGGATCTAGCCAAATTGTTTATTTTGGTGTATAGTTCGGGCCAGGATGTTATAGATCGAAAAGATTGGCCAGGATGTTTATTTTGGTCAAAGTTCAGGCCATACGAAAATATTAACCCTAAAATTTATGATGGATATTCATATCTCCAATTTTCTCCATTTTAAAAATGTTGTTATGTGAGTGTTTCGGAAGGGTGTCTAAATGAAACTGTGTGTTCCATTTCAGAAAGCCCATAATTGGATCCGCGCCAACCGGGCCTTCTATACTCTCATTTGGGCCTTTCAATAACAGCTTTGAGTTCTAACTCCGCGACAGACAAGGTTTGAGCAATTTTATTTAACTTTAATTTATATTTTTAATTTTAATATTTTATCAAATTTTACCGATTTTGGGAGGCAATCCCTTATTTTCAGAAACCGCCAGATTTCGTCATCTTCCCCTTCCAGAAAATCTACCAACATCATCTCTACTCGGACCTATCCCTACTACCTAGCATTGGGCAAGAACGCACTCACCCCGGGAAGACGATTGCATTGGAGTCCTCTACGGAATTCACTTTCTCCTCTGGGAGGTGTGCAAAATCACCCTTCCATCTTGGATGTGATTTCTTTCTTCAATACAAGAGCATTTCCTTCAGATCCTCGATTGGGTAAATATTGATAACTACATAGTATTTATAGGTAAAACGGAGAAGACGGTTGGTGATGGCGGAGGTGGAGGCTAAAATGCAATACCAATTTGGCCAAGCTAAGCCGCCTGGTAGTTAGTTTGGTAATCTTTTTGGACACACACTTGAATTCATTTATTATGGGGTTGTTTGGAAATGGGATTTGTTGTGATGCATGTAACCAATCCACTAGCGAATAGAATTTGCCCTCTTTTTTGTTAAATATGGTTTCCCATAGTCGATATTAGGTTCACTCTTTTTAGATGCAAACTGATGATTTTCAATTTTTTAATTGTTAGTAATTTTTTGCATTTTATTCATTATTCTTAAATGTTATGTACAAAACTTATATACTTTTTTTCTACACTCCTCTTCACTTGATTAACTGTTGTTGTCATGCCAAACTCTCACATCCATTATTGAAGTATCATTTTGTTGGTTTCTTTCGTGATGCAAGATATGGTTGCATGTGTTTTGGTGATTTAGATTTTTTTTTTAAGTACATCGATGCATGAGATAAATTTATCTTGCATGAGTCAGATCTTATATTTTACAATGACACCAAGTTAGATGCGTTTCTAATCAAAGTTGAAGTTGTTACTATTAGAGAATGGGTACCTCCCATTTTATCGAGGTTAGGTCGTCTGAATCACAATTCGATCATGGTTAAGGTGATTTTTGGATGGAAATTTGGGTATAAGGACATGTTTGATATTTTTCTAAAGTATAAGGGTATGATGTAAAAAATAGTGCATATTTGATAAATTGCATAGTAAATGGCAATATCATACATATAACCCAATTATATTTAATTAGATTTCAAATTCATTTCTTAAAACTTCATTAGTCAAATACTTGAGTACTTTCCTACATTATTGACAACCAATTAGAAAGGGACGGCAAAAATGTCTGTAACCATGGATATTCGCCTGAATCCGATCGAATCGGGTAGGGTAAAACCCGAACCCGAAGAAATTTTAGTGGGTACGGGTAAAACTTGAACCCGAATATTGCGAGTAATGGGTAGGTATGGTTTTCTCACTATCCAACCCGAACTCGGCTGATTATGACATACATATGCATTTTGTCTAGAAATAATTATTAATTTTCTCTACCATATTTTATATTTAGCATATAACTATAATATTTTCATAAAATTATGTTGTTTTAATTAATTTTCTTCACCCTAATGAATTATTGTCGTACTTTTTACGTTTATGTAATGCGAGAATATGAGTGAATGGTACGTAACATATTGGTTGGAGTTATAAAGAGAAATTATTATCCATGGATGACCGTGGATACCCGAAACCCAAACGGGTATGGGCATGATTTTGATTTTTTACCCGTTTCTTATGTGGGTATGGGTAACATCAGAACTACTTTGGGTAGGATAA